TCCACAAGTGTGAATTCGCAGAGCACCACTCGAAGAAAGATGGTCACAGGTATGTAACCTACCATTATCTGCAAGGCTTAGAGGCCTCTCTGGGCCCTTCCACACAGCCCGATATCCCAAAATATCAAGGCGGAAAATCCCACATTATCTGAGTGTGGACTCAGATAACCCAGGTCAAAGCAGATATTGTGGGATTTTCTGCCTTGATATTCTGGGATAGAGGGCTGTGTGGAAGGGCCCTCTGACATTTGGTTCCCTTTTAACCTGTATCAATTATGTGCTAGGCAGAAAAAAGGCCTTGCTGTAGAAGGACAATCTACTGTTGAAGGAGAGAAGAAAATCTCGGAATCCAGTGCACAGACAAATGAGAATGCAGTGAGGTTCAAAAGAAAAATTGAAGTGGTAATAATAAATGCATTCTTAGATTATGTCAACTGAGTTGTTTGCCTGTCCCTTTTTGACTGTATGAGAACTAATTAATATGAATGACTGGAACACTATTTCTACAGAGCAATCTGCGGCACTCTAGATTCTGCTTGTAGTACAACTCCATGATTTCTAATTAACTGAAACTGATGAGAATCTGGACAGTGAGGGATTCCTCACCCCACCATACACAGACATAGTTACAAGTGATCTACACTAGCCCGAAAGAAGATGTTGCTCAATTCATGAAATTTCTGATCTACACATAATAGCAACCTGAATCTTAATGGGGAAAGACGTCAAAAATCTTTGTACAGCTGAACCCCATGGCAGAAAAGAAAGTAACTTCAAAAAGTAACAAAAACCCAGTAAGCTGGACATAGCGAGTGCTTGGTGGAACAGCAGAGACACATTTCACCCAACAAGTGCAGCAGACTACCCACACAAAACATTTTTATTGTATCTTCTATAACATCTAAAGCAGGAGTGTGCAAAGTATGACTTTCCAGACTGAGATACAACTGTCTGAATTCTATTGGTAGTCCCACCCAAGGGACAAGACCACAGTTCTAGACCTATTAAGTCAATACATAATTGTTGATTGCCTATTCAGCAAATTGATTCAGTGAGTACTTTATTTTACCAATAGGATTCAAGCCAGTATGTGCTCCCTAGAAATAGAAAAATTAAAATCCCTACATGCATGCCAAGAGACCACAAGTGGCCCTTGGGCAGACCTTATACTTGATGGGACGAACCAATTGTTAAGCTATTTGTCCAGAAATGGAAAAGAAAGGCACAAGATCATATCTTTTGGCAAATAGTAGATTTGTGTGACGCTCAAGGGAGTAGATTGACGTCAAATCTGATAGGATAGGAAGACATGCCTACAGCAACCTATATATATATATATATATATATATACACACACACACACACACATATGCATACATTATTCTCCAAGATACATGGATAACATACAATGTACTGTGTAGGAAATCTGGTCAATCCATTGTGTACAACAGATTTGTTGGTAGGGACAGAGGGGCACCATCTATATTAAATTAATCCCATTTGGGCATAGCTTTTACTTCTCATTGAATGGAACCATATAAGTTATTATATGAAAGCCAATTTTATTTTCTTACTTAACACTGAGGATGTCTCTTCATCTTCCTTTCCTCCACCAAAAGTCAGAACAAGTTCAGCAAAATTGGCTCCTTTAGAAAGCAGCTCTTTATAACTCCCCATTTCAGTAATTCTCCCATCTTCCATCACAACTATGATGTCCATCTGAGACAGCAGAGTCAGGTTGTGAGTCACTAAAATACGGGTCTAGGGACAGAAGAAAAGCAACCATGTTCCTTTTTTGCACTAGAAAATAGAAATGACATCTGAACAATATTAAAAGTCTATGGGTTTTTTTGCCTACCTTGTGTTTCAACAAGCCTGTGGACCCAATCACTTTCTCAAAAAGGTGTTTCCCAACATGGACATCTACAGCAGACAGAGGGTCATCCAGTAAGTATAGTTCAGCATTGCTGTACACAGCTCTAGCTAGGCTGACTCTCTGCTTCTGGCCACCACTTATATTCACACCCTAAAGGCACAAAAAGGTTAAAGGTGCATCAAATAGTTCTTTGGGGTGAAATTAAAATGCTGGATATTATTTAAAATTTCAAAGTGCCTTTAATATAACCAGCTGAGAGATAATCCACATGGGTGGCAACATATAAGGCAAGTTTCCAGTCACATTCTCCACTTACATCTTCCTACTTAAGCTTAATAAAGTGGTCTTTTGATTATTTCCAGTTTTGAGGAAAATAAGACAGAATAATTTGATCTTTGGGTTTGAGTGTTGTTGTGTGCTTTCAAGTAATTTCCCATTTATAGTGACAGTAGGGCAACCCTATCACAAGCCTATCTTGCCAAGATGTCTTCAAAGGTATTGGGTTTGTCTTCCTGTAAGCCTGAGAGAGTATGACCAGGTCACCAAGGGGGTTCCCATGGCTGAATGAGGATTCAAACCATGGTCCCCAGAGTCATGGTCCAACACTCAAAACAACTACACCTCACTGAGTGGGTGCTGGGAGTCTAAAATACTTCCTGAATCTACCAACATTGCCCAGCAGATTTATAAGCACATACAACTCTTGTATGAGCTGTCTCAGTCCTTTGAAGTCCAATATAGGAGAAAGTTAATGAAAAATGGTAGTTGAGGACAGATGTATGCCAGTGAATACTACAGATTGGTATATGCTAGTCACCCCACACTGAGTAATCATAAATATTACCAGAGAGTCCATTTTCTGTGTTATGCTAATTATCTATCTATTTATTTATTTATTTACTTTGCTTATATACCGCAATTCTCAGCCCCAGGGGCGACTCATTGCGGTGTACAACATAGAAAAAACAAGGTGCAAAATACAAGACACAGTATAAAATAATCCACAATTCATCGTTATCAAAAAACATCTTCATCAAAAACATCATCATTACTACAAAAGCCATTCCGTGTCGTCTCATCGTCAAAGCCACAATCCAGTATCATTTTCCGTTGTTCCATTCCTATGGTCAATTACCAGTCATTGCACTTCTTGTTCAAACGCCTTCTTAAACAGCCAGGTCTTTAATTTCCTGCGGAATATCATCAGGGAGGGCACTAGTCTGATGTCCTCGGGAAGGGTGTTTTTGAATTTTATATAGAGAAAGCTATATCATGCATAACTTTAATTTTTCATTTCCATGACTGGAAATAGAGATTCATCCCCTTCCTTATGTAAATATAAGAAACTGCTGTTTACTAAGTCAGGTCATTAAAACTATTGTCACCTCTGACAGACAAAAGCACTCCTAGATGTTCCTAGCTATGCAACCTTTACTGGAGAAGCCTAACCACTATTTGTTGACAGCCCTTCACACAAGAATTGTCTTATTGCAATAAACCCTTAATGGCATAGTTTCAGCTTGGCAGAAACAAACATCATTTTTCCAAAATTCTGGAGAAGATTATGTGAAAATTCCTTGGAAAGATCCCTAGACAAACTTACTTTTCCTTCCAGAACTTAATATTCAGAAGTTTAATACCCACTCTGTACAGTTGGGAGATATCACTCACCCTTTCTCCAATTTCTGTTTGGTCTCCATTTGGTAACTGGTCCAAGTCTGGCAACAAAGCACAGGCCTCCAAAACCCTTTCATAAAATACCTGGCTTAGTTCTGAACCAAAGAGAATATTTTCTTGCAAAGTGGCATTCTGTATCCAAGCTTGCTGAGAAACATAAGCCACTGATCCCTGGATGAAGAGGAAAAGTAAACCCACTAATTAACACAAAGTCCTTGATATGATAGTATTTCAAAGGGAATAATTTTAAGTACTAGCTGAGAATCCCTTATCCAATATTCTGAAATATGAAACATTCCAAAATATGAAATTATCTACATAGGTTATTGAGATAGTTACACCTTTGTTTTCTGCTGGTTCAATCTAAATGAACTTTGTTTCATAGACAAAATTATTTTAAAATATTTGTATATAATTACCTTCACGGTACATGTATAAGATTTATACAAAACATAAATGAGTTTTATGTTCAGGCTTGGGTCTTATCCTCAAGATATCTCAAACATGCAAATATAAGTATTCTTAAATCTGGAAAAAAATCCCAAATCCAAAACACTTCTTGTCCAAAGCATTTCAGTGAGGGATAATCATCCTGTAATATATTAATTCCATCAGTGAACTAGATCTGTTAGTCCTACTGTGGGGTTAGCATCCACACATACGTGTAAGAGTGGACTCTAATTTCCTCCCCTAGGAGTTTATAATGATGAAGTAGTTTGCAGTCCATAAAAATTTAAATAAAACATATTAATGTTTAAGATATCCAAAGATTTTTCTGCTTGATGCAACATACTAAAATGGGTACTCCAACCATCACTGTACAAGTTTTGCTGGCTTGTAGTGCAGTCCACATTTCAGATTGGATTTGCCCTATATTATAAGCATGCACAGGCATGTGATGAAACTTGTCAAGGTTATGGGCAAGCTGGTGTGAGTTAAGTGCAAGGATTAGTTAGTAGCTTCCCTGCCAAGGGTGGAGGGATTTCCTTCTGGGCTTTATTCTAGAATTTGAAGGAATTATTCCACAATCTTAACCCCATTTCCCAAACCAGGAACTGTGGGAAAATCCAGATTTGTAGAACAATTAGGAGGCAGGATGGAATGAAAACAGAGTGGACAGACTTGGATGGCAAATGTACTTTGTTGAGAAAGCAGGCATCAGATAATGAAGCTGCATGTGGACTCAGCAGAGGAGCATGGTATGGGGCTAAGTGCCTTGCACTTGAATTCAGTGTGGGACTGGGGAGCAGGGTTCTTTCCTGCCTTCTAGGTGCAGGTGTCAATGACAGTATGGCTTGATCAAGCCCAATATTAATTCAAAGAAACACAAAAGTGTTGTGAGATTGAATGCAGTCTACAGAAAGAAAACAGCTTAAACTGTTACAGTAACACAAACATGCAGAAAGCTTGAAAAGACTTTGGTAAACAGAAAAGAAAACCTTCAACATCATTCAATATATCTGGAAAGGAGAATAAAGAAAATCCTCTTTACTTTTCTCTGAGCAGTTCCTTCTGTTTTTAACATTTCTCCAAGAATGGCAGAAAGGAGAGATGATTTCCCTGCTCCCACTTGGCCCACAACAGCAACCAAAGAACCTTCTGGAATCTCTAGGTTTAGTCTATAAATATGTAAAAAACAAAAACAGAAACAAACAAACAGAATCAAATGTATTGCTTTTATTAAAATGCAAAATGAGATCCCTCTAGTGGTTGAGCCAAAGAGTAACCCTCTCTCTTGACTCAACAGTTAAGATATCTCTTTCATGCATATACTGATCATCAAAAGAATGCAAAAGAATGGCTTATTTTTTTTTTGTAAAGGTGTTTCATCTATCACCTTAAATTGTTATTTTAAACAGGGGTGGGGTGTTCCAAAGTTCTGTGTGCCACATGTAGACATTTTGATCTCCAACCACTGCCACAGTTGCCATTTGGAGCAGCTAGAACTATCATTATTGGACACTTTTTGCTATTCCTAGTCCTCATTTGAGGAGGTTCTTTCATCCACTCAAACAGTATTTCTAGGCACTGCTAAGCATTTAAGCACTTTGAGACAGCTGAAATCCAAATTTAGGAAGACATTGAATGTTGTGAAGACAACACTTCACAACATTCACACTTGCACAATCGTGCAGGTGTACCATCCCCAACCATAGACCAGGAGCAACAGGAACACATACAGGAGAACCATAGGCTCTTGGACGAATCTCAATGGATTGTCCTTGACGAATGCACCGGGGATGTCGAGGAGGAGGACAACACTTTTCACCTACACAATTCACACCAACAGGATCACTTTTCTGGAGACCTACACACTACATTGCACAAAAGGGGCCCTGTCATTCCCGAAAGTAAACAGGTCTTGGTAGTAGGCGACTCCCTCCTTAGAGGAACGGAAGCTGTCATTTCCAGACCAGATGGGATGGCTCGAGAAATATGCTGCCTACCGGGGGCAAAAATACACCATATCACTCAGAGGCTCACCAGGCTCCTCAAGCCCTATCACCGTCCTCCCCTCATGTTGATTCATGTAGGAACCAATGATACTGCAAGGCATACGTTTCAAAAGATCACAAATGATTTTCGAGCTCTAGGAGCAAAGCTAAAAGAATGTAACGTACAGGTGGTCTTTTCATCCCTCCTCCCTGTTGTAAGACACGGACCCACAAGAGCCAGAAAAATAGTACAGGTCAATGACTGGCTTAGAAAATGGTGTCAGGAGGAACGCTTTGGCTTCCTCGACCATGGCCTGCTTTTCCAGGAGGATGGCCTACTGGCAAGGGATGGGGTGCATCTCACACAAGTAGGAAAACACCTTTTTGCTCACAGACTCGCAAACCTCATTAGACGCACTTTAAACTAGGTCCACCGGGGGAGGGGGACAACAGCCTTGCGAACACTACTTTACCCATAATGTCTGGGAATCGCCAGAAGGCTAAACGGAGGGCTGCACAAACACAACAAGGACCAAGTACCAAAAGCACAATAATCCCAATTAAACAGCTCAAGGGAAGATCTCAGGGGCTCACATGTCTTTACACTAATGCACAGAGCATGGGAAATAAACAAGACGAACTCCAACTTTTAGCACAACACCACAAATATGATATCATAGGGATCACTGAAACCTGGTGGGATGACTCCTATCGCTGGAATGTAGATATCGAGGGGTATAACCTCTTTCACAGAAACCGAACAAAGGGGAGAGGAGGCGGAGTAGCCTTATATGTCAAAAACTCTTATGCTGCAGAAGAGATTCAAGACAGCAATCTGGGAAACCAGCTTGAAATCATCTGGATAAGAATCAAGGGAACTGGAAAACAAACTCGGCCAAGAGTACAAGGTCCAACAAATTCCTCGCTTGCCTTGCAGACAATTTCATGGTCCAGAAGGTAGAAGAGGCAACAAGGGGATTGGCTACTCTTGATCTCATCCTAACAAATGCGGAGGACCTGATCGATGCGGTCGAAGTGGTAGGATCCTTAGGGGCAAGTGACCATGTGCTCCTACAATTTGAGGTACAAAGGAAGGCCGAAACTAAGACAAGTCAAACCCGCATTTTGGACTTTAGGAGAGCTGATTTCCAAAAAATGAAGGAAACGCTGAGCAGCATTCCGTGGACACAGATACTAAAAGACAAGGGAGTTACGGATGGATGGGAATTTCTCAAGAGTGAAATACTCAAGGCGCAATTGCAAACCGTGCCAACAAAGAGAAAAAATAGGACAAATGCAAAGAAGCCAGAATGGATGTCCAAAGAACTTCTAACTGTGCTAAGACACAAAAGAGACATGCACAAGAAGTGGAAAAAGGGAGAAATCACCAAAGAAGAATTCAAACAAATAGCCAACACCTGTAGGGAAAAGGTCCGCAAGGCTAAAGCAAAAAACGAGCTCAGACTTGCCAGGGACATTAAAAACAATAAAAAGGGCTTCTATTCTTATGTCAGTAGAAAAAGGAAAAACAAGGAGGCGATAGGACCTCTTCGAGGAGAAGATGGGGCAATGCTGACAGGGGATAGGGAAAAGGCAGAACTACTTAATGCCTTCTTTGCCGCGGTCTTCTCACAAAAAGAGAGTCTTCAACCTCAGCAAGACAAAAATACACCCTCCCCCTCCCCAGCCCCCCCCCCCAAACAAGAACTACTTAATGCCTTCTTTGCCTCGGTCTTCTCACAAAAAGAGAGTGTTCAACCTCAGCAAGATGGAGTGGATGAGGGATTGGAGGACATCCAACCCCAAATTGGGAAAGAAGTCGTCCAGGAATACCTGGCCGTTCTTAATGAGTTCAAGTCCCCAGGGCCAGATCAACTACACCCCAGAGTATTGAAGGAACTAGCGGAAGTCATTTCGGAACCATTGGCAACCATCTTTGAGAGTTCTTGGAGAACGGGAGAAGTTCCAGCAGATTGGAGGAGGGCCAATGTGGTCCCAATCTTCAAGAAGGGAAAAAAGGATGACCCAAACAACTACCGTCCGGTCAGCCTCACGTCGATACCGGGCAAGATTCTGGAAAAGATTGTTAAGGAAGCGGTCTGCAAACACTTAGAAACAAATGTAGTCATCGCTAATAGTCAACATGGATTTATCAAAAACAAGTCATGCCAGACTAATCTGATCTCTTTCTTCGATAGAGCTACAAGCTGGGTAGATGCGGGGAATGCCGTGGATGTAGCGTACCTGGATTTCAGTAAGGCCTTCGACAAGGTCCCCCATGACCTTCTGGCAAGGAAACTAGTCCAATGTGGGCTAGGCAAAACTACGGTGAGGTGGATCTGTAATTGGTTAAGTGGACGAACACAGAGAGTGCTCACTAATGCTTCCTCTTCATCTTGGAAAGAAGTCACAAGTGGAGTGCCGCAGGGTACCGTCCTGGGCCCGGTCCTGTTCAACATCTTTATTAATGACTTAGATGAAGGGCTAGAAGGCATGATCATCAAGTTTGCAGACGACACCAAATTGGGAGGGATAGCCAATAGTCCAGAGGACAGGAGCAGAATTCAAAACGATCTTGACAGATTAGAGAGATGGCCAAAACTAACAAAATGAAGTTCAACAGTGACAAATGCAAGATACTCCACTTTGGCAGGAAAAATGAAATGCAAAGATACAGAATGGGGGACATTGCCTGGCTCGAGAGCAGTACGTGTGAAAAAGATCTTGGAGTCCTCGTGGACAACATGAGCCAACAATGTGATGTGGCAAAAAAAGCCAATGGGATTTTGGCCTGCATCAATAGGAGCATAGTGTCTAGATCTTGGAGTCTTCGTGGACAACAAGTTAAACATGAGCAAACAATGTGATGTGGCGGCAAAAAAAGCCAATGGGATTTTGGCCTGCATCAATAGGAGCATAGTGTCTAGATCTAAGGAAGTAATGCTACCCCTCTATTCTGCTTTGGTTAGACCACATCTGGAATAGTGTGTCCAATTCTGGGCACCACAATTCAAGAGAGATATTGACAAGCTGGAATGTGTCCAGAGGAGGGCGACTAAAATGATCAAGGGTCTGGAGAACAAGCCCTAGGAGGAGCGGCTTAAGGAGCTGGGCATGTTTAGCCTGAAGAAGAGAAGGCTGAGAGGAGATATGATAGCCATGTATAAATATGTGAGAGGAAGCCACAGGGAGGAGGGAGCAAGCTTGTTTTCTGCTGCCCTGGAGACTAGGATGCGGAACAATGGCCTCAAACTACAAGAGAGGAGATTCCATCTGAACATTAGGAAGAACTTCCTGACTGTGAGAGCCGTTCAGCAGTGGAACTCTCTGCCCCGGAGTGTGGTGGAGGCTCCTTCTTTGGAAGCTTTTAAGCAGAGGCTGGATGGCCATTTGTCGGGGTGATTTGAATGCAATATTCCTGCTTCTTGGCAGGGGGTTGGACTGGATGGCCCATGAGGTCTCTTCCAACTCTTTGATTCTATGATTCTATGATTCTATGAGTGCCAGTGGATACACTGGATCCCCTCCAAAAGGACCCCACAATTCCTATCCCTCCTTTAAAGGTTATCCCTGGCCCATGAACGTTTCAATTTTGTTTGTTTTTTCGTATCATGCCCAAACCTCTTTCCATTTTTTCAAACTGATATTCTCAACTACAAGTATTTTACCACTCATGTGTCCTTCCTCATTGTACATTTACTTCATTCACTTGAGTGAATCAAGGGCTGTTGATAGCTTTTGTGTGAACCATCTATCATGGAAGCTTTCCTGGTCTATGGGGCAAAATTTCCCACCTAACCAAGCCCTTATTTTTGACAGCTCTACCAACTAGGCATGACAGATATTTTTGTACTTCAATTTCCACCATTGCTCACTACTAGATGTGCTGATCAAGGTTTATGAGAGCTGAAGGCCAACATTATCCCAAGGGTCTTTCTATTTAAATTCCTGAGCCAAGTTTCTGATAAACCTTAGCAAAGTGCTTTCTTGTTTACTATTCAACCATGGCATTTGTGATATTGCCCTTCCTGGAAAAAAAGAAAATAAAACTTGAACATCAGCTCATAAATATAATTGGTTCCTTACTTATTTAAAGTCGAGGCGCCAATCTTCTCCCAGCAGAAAGAGGCATTAACAAATTTAACCGCATGATCTTGAGATCCAGAAACAAAACAATTGAAGTTAACAGAAGGTTGTTCAGCCCAAATTTGAAATCATGTATGCAGTCATGAATGTTTTGATGTGGCTTACCTCCAGCACAGTCTGAGTTAATGTTCTGTGGGTCAAGATCTTCAGAAGACAGAAAATCTTCCAGACGACTCAGGGAAACCTTTGTCTGAAAAGGAAACAACAAATATTTAGCCAATTCAAATTTTAAACAGTCTTTTTAGGTGTTGTCAAAGGCTTTAGTGGTCAGAACCAATGGGTTGCTATGAATTTTCCAGGCTGTATGACCATGCTCTCAGGTTGAATTAGTCTGCAATGTCTTTCATGTTCCTTGATTCATGTTTTGGGCAAAGGACAAGAGGGATCCTCTCACCTCTGCAGGAGTCTACCATATACCATGCAGCTATGGGCAAGTCTACATAGAGACCACCAAACACAGTACGCAAATACAAATAAAGGAACATGAAAGGCACTGCAGACTAATTCAGCCTGAGAAGTCAGCCATAGCAGAGCACCTGATGAATCAACCTGGGCACAGCATATTATTTGAGAACATAGAAATGTTGGACCGCTCTAACAACTACTATGTCAGACTACACAGAGAAGTCACTTAAATCCACAAGCATGTGGACAATTTTAACAGAAAGGAGAAACCATGAACATGAACAAAATCTGGCTACCAGTATTAAAAAAACTCTAACATCAAGACAGTAAATAAACACTCAAAAAGCAGGGGAATTCCAGACATGAATCAATCAGGGCAAGGTAACACTTCCCAACAAAGGATTCCCCCAGGCACCAACCAGCCAGGCTTTGAAACTGCAAGGCCATTACATGCTAATTAAGATGACCATTTGCAACATTTACACTTTCCTCAAACAGACAAGAATTCTTTCCTCCACCATGGACATTTCTCAGATAAACTTGTCTAGTTTCCAACAGACCTCACAAACTCTGAGGATGCCTGCCATAGATGTGGGTGAAAGGTCAGGAGAGAATGTTTCCAGAACATGGCCATACAGCCCGGAAAACCCGCAGCAACCCAGCCTTTTTAGGATCTCCCTCCTCTACTTCTAATTTTACAAAACAAGTAAAAGCAAGTCTCTACTGAAAAACATTCTTGCTAGCTCTCAAAAATATCTAATAAATTTGTTTTTACCATCTAGAGAGCTATTTTCCTTTAGGACAGAGTATGAAAACATTTTGTCATTATATCTAGTTGGCCTTTTTTTCAAAACAATTTACGATGTGTATTATACTAACAAATACTGAGAAGTTTATATTTTTATGAGCTTGTGTTTTTTAAATTTAAAAATATCTAAAGATAAATAAGAAAGAATGTATGTCTCAATTTCTGGAAGCCATTTAAAATAAGGTTCTGCCCTATTTTCATCTAGTACTAAAACTAGATCTATTTTAAACACCACATGAAAGATGAAAATATGCACAATATTATTTCAAGATCAAGTACCATAACTCACCTATGGATTGTATACTTACCTGAGCTATTGAAGATATTACCGTAGGCAAATCAAACAAAGGCAGACGCAAAATATTAAACAGGGAGATAGAAGTAAACACTTTAGCAGCTGTTAAAATATTTTCTTCATCTAACACAAAATAGACTCCAAAAGTAGCCAGAGAAACCTGTAAGAGAAACAGGATGGTCCATCTCACAATTCAAGAACATAAACAACAGCTAGACTTCTGTATCATCTTCCAAAATTTCTCTAAAATCTTACTACAATCCCATTACTCATCCATGTTTTCTTCAATATCTCTTTATTCAAATGTATGATTACTTTCTCACATCAATTCATAAGAGGAGCATGCTAAAGAAAATCCCACATAAGAAAAAAAAAACTGAAATAAATGTGTCTGTTTATTACCTGTACTTTACTGAAAACATCGTTTTGCACACTGGAAGTTTTAACATCAGTAATGGGATAAAAGTCTAGATGTGTGCACTACATATAATATTCTGGGAAAGTTGTAGGTTTTTTAAAAAAAATCAGTTGAGTTGCCTTATACTTAATGGAACATAGGATACACAATTACACAATTATTCTACTAAAACACACCAGGAAAGGAATGCATGTCAATGTGAGCATGGAAGCTGTTGTCAGGTATCCTTTGGATTTCAGAACATCTATTTCACATTCCCGAATTTCCAGAATTTTTCTCTGATATGATGGCTCCCATGCATATAACTTGAGAATCTAAAATGAGAATTGTATTTTGGTAAGTATTCTGACATATAGCTTATGTTCAAAGTTTTGTATCACCACATACATAAAAAAGTGCTATACCTGTATCTTATATGAATCTTATTCAAGTCCTTCCCATCTCCCATTCCATGCTGAAAAACCAGCTGCATGGGACAATTGAACTGATAAATGATGACACAGATGTATCTGGTCTGCATTACTCCAACCCCATTCGCAGATTGCTACCACCTTTTTCCTCTGACATCCATTTCGCTTTGTTGAATAGTAGGGCTGGCCCTAATCTCAATGTCATAAAGCCGGTTGTGTAGCAGAAGATTTATCATCTCATACTCCAACATGCATAAATTTTACCCAAACCTGAGTTCTTTCCATGTGTGCCATCTAATCCAACCTCCTGCCATATAGGAAAAACACAATCAAAGTACCCCTGACAGATGGCCATCCAACCTCTGTTTAAAAACCTCTATGGAAGGAGCTTCCATCACACTCTGGGTCAGAGAGTTCCATTGATGAACAGCTTGTATGGTCATTTTTCCTGCCTAAGTGAAGTATCCTACACATTTTGTTAGTTTTGGCCCAGCTCTCTAATCTGTTGAGGTCATTTTGAGTTCTGATATTGGCTTATAGAGTATTAGCCATTCCTCCCAATTTGGTGTCACCTGCATACTTGATAAGAATGCTCTCTAAACCTTCATTTAAGTGCCCATCCAGACAGCACCTTTATTGCGGGAATTCCTGCAATAAAGGAGGGGCTGTCCAGACAATGTTCTGGACAGTCCCAATTAATTTGCTACAAACCAGGAAAACACTGTGGATTTATTCCATGCCTTCTTGGAAGGCACGGGATAAATGCACTATTTCCAATGTCTTGACTACAGTCCAGACTACAGTCCAGACACTGGACTACATAAGCCTGATAAACTGTAGAACTACCCACCCCCCAAGCCCCCAGACCCTTTATAAGTTACAAGGCATGCAGTATTCCCTAAGAACAGCTCTCCTGATGCGTACAAACGAAGCGCCAGGAGAGCGGGGGGGGGGGGAGGAAAACCGCCCCCCCTCTCCTGGCACGTAATTTGTACGCACCGGGAGAGATGCTCCGAGGGAATACTGCAGGCATGGTAAGTGTTTTTTTACTTTTCTAAGGGGTCTAGGGCTTGGGGAGGGGGGGTAGGGCCTCCTGACATTCTCTTGGGCTAGTCCCGAGAGAACATCTGGACAACCCACCCCAGTAAGTGTACAAATTGTGGGGTGGGTATGGACAGGCCCCCAGAAACATGTGTGTTATTTTAACATGGATGCTTCTGGGACAAGGGCCTGTCTTGATCCAGCCTTAGTCATTAAGAAAGATGCTGAATAGCACCAGGTTTAGGACAGAACCCTATGGCACTCCACTAGTCACTTATTTCCAAGATGAAGGGTAACCATTGGTAAGCACCCTTTGGGTTCGGTCGTTTAACCAATTACAAATCTGCCTAACAGTAGTATTATCTAACCCACCATTCCATGTAGTTGCTTAACCCAAGATGTACAAAGACTTCCACCTAAATGAATTATTCATATATGTATACAGTACATGCCGATCATACAGATTATTGTGTCCAGGCTGCTCCTTAAACCATTAAACAAATTGATTGTCTATTTGTCTTACCTTTATTCCATGCAAGATTTCATTTAGAAGTTTAATTTGTTGATCACTATTCTTCATCTGGCTTTTCTGATCGAAAGAATAAAAGTTGCATTTTGAAAGCAGCATAATTAAAATATATATAATGAAACTGATAAAAAATGAACACATATAACAATTAAGTTAAACATGTTACTATATTGATTGTTAACCAGCCTTTTTAAAATTGTGTACCATGCCCATTGCAAATAAAAATATTTAGCTATATATTAATTAGCACTTTTCTCTTAGTTCAGAACACTAGGTTGTTATCAACCTATGTCGTTCTCCCAATGCCCGCCTTTCACTGAAATTTTCCAGGTTTTTCTTCAAAGCCTTCCAGACTTCAGAAGATACTTTTTGTTAGTCTTAATAGGGAGCTACACTGGGAAGTAATGGCTGGCAAAAATCCATTACCCAATTGGACTGTTACTCATATAACTCAAGATATAACCCATCTGAATTACAATAGCCATCTTTCCTCTACTACAGTAAACTGGAGTGATATCTCAGTTGAAATTTCCTACCTTGAGTTGCTCTACTTTGGAAGCAAAAAACGCATTTATAGGTAAAACTAAAAGTAGTACACCAACACCAGTCAAGACTGAAGGACCCAGTTCTTGCCAAAGAAAGACGATGGCCAACAGGATCTGAAAAGGAGCTGACCACAAAAGATTGAGGTTGACACTCAAGTCCATAAGTTGTTGGATATCTGCAGACATCAGGTTTACTATTTCACCAGTTGTATATTTTTGCCGAGAAGAACTGGATAATGTTAAAGCCTGCATCCAAAGAAGACACAGATGATCAATGAACATTTTTGAAACAAGTTCTAAAATTAGTTTTGCTGTTATAATGCATAACCATATACCTTTCTGTACACAAGTCCAACAACTACAGTCTTAATTTTTACAGCAGTGAGAATGTTAAGACGCTGGTAAACCTGATGTATAAGTGTTTGCAAAACCACCACAAGGAGCAGATCCAGTGCATACTGACAACCATTTGAATATGAATCTGAATGATGTTCATACTGAAGAATCATTTCTCTGTAAAGAAAAACAATTTTAATGGTCATATGAACCCATTAAAAACATGTTTATAGATCAGTTTCATCAAGCCCTCTTTGTTCTGCTTAACTGCACAGAAAAAGCTGGTATGGAAATTCTGATCTAGAATTTTTTTTCCATTTAATATTTGAATTGTTCATATCATGAGCATGCAATTTGGTGTACTTCAGATATTTGGGGATGTAATCCACATAATTCACAACTACTATCTATGATATTAAGATTCAATGGCTGGATATGAATGTAGCATATTAGATGCCACAACAGATTTCCTCTACAAGTCCCTTTCCACTCTGCAGAAATATTCCTGAAATACCAAATGTATTGCCAGAGAAACCTTCATGCTGGATCCAAATTCCGCAAACAATGTGACCTCGGTGTAACTCAAACAGCTAGCATTTCAATAGCTATGTCATTTAAAAGACATACAGTGCAGTATGGTTTAGCTCAGGGGTTCTCAACCCGTGGGTCCACAGATGTTTCGGCCTTCAACTCCCAGAAATCCTAACAGCTGGTAAACTGGCTGGGATTTCTGGGAATTTTAGGCCAAAACACCTGGGGACCCACAGGTTGAGAACCACTGGTTTAGAGCATGCAAGCAAATAGTCAGTACAAGTCAGATCCCACGACCAATGCATAGTAATTGAAAGAGCCATTGGCTCAAGCATCACAGTTGAAAAGTTGAATGAACTTTGAAATCATTCATCTTCAGCTTTTCAAGGCATTCTCCTATAAAGCTTTAAAGCAATTTGTTTTTCTAAAAGCCACTAGTCAGTTACAAGATTACTACAACTGAGAAACAGATTCAAATTATATACAAGCTATTTCTCAGAGAACCTATATATCCTACACAATATAGAAATAGATAATATAGATATATTATATTATATATTATATGACTATTTTTGCAGTAAACTTAAGTCAGGCAATAGTAAGATGTATTACCAGACTGTACTGAAACCTCCTAACTTGGTATATTCATAAACCCTGGCTGTAAACTTACTTCATAACCTGTGGGCTTGTAAAAGCCAAAGTGTCAGCCACAACTTTCAGAGTAGCAACCTTGATCAATGAGAATTTAAATGTGTGCCACAGTGGCAGAAGGAGAGATGTTTTTCGGGCAACTGGCTTCTTAGTAATTTCATTATATATAGGAACCTGTGGGTTAAAAGAACACAACATTCCTGAAAATACAGAATGTGTAATAAAAAGAAGCAAGTTTTGAGGACCTTGAAAAAGCTATTTATTTATTTATTTATTTATTTATTTATTTACTGCATTTGTATACTGCCTTTCTCAGCCAGAGGCGACTCAAGGCAGTACCTTTGGGGGGGCTACAATGCCAGAATCCCTACAGCACAATGGGAACTGGATACATTGGCCACATAATTTTCAGAGTAAAATCACAGTCCTAACTAATAAAACAACATGTGTTTCAATGGTCTGACTCTTGTTGGGACTAACAAATACATTTTAGCCATGGTCCTTAAATGTACCTTTTCCATTCCTTGATTTAAGAAAAATAAATATTCATCTTACATATAAAATGTATTGTATTTCAAGATGGGTTGGCATTTAGGAACCAAGTTTTTTTAAAAAAAAATATTCAAAGCAATGTGCTTAATTATAGTAATGTATTGAAAACCCCAAATGATTAGTTGCTGACATAGAGATATACATATAATTTCAGTTCTAATCCTGTCCCCCATAACTTTCTGATTAGAGCAGTTTTTACATTTAAATTTGATTGCTACTCAAGGGCATTTCACTCTAATCAGTTTATGTGCTGATCTTTCTTTTAAACTGTATACTTTTAATAGTGCATGGATTTATTTTGATGCTTCAATTGCTTTCTAATTTAAACTTTCCATTAATAGTCGCACTGTGTGTCTTTTCTGACAGAAAGGTGAGAAATATATTTAATAAACAAATAAATATATTTAATGTATTTAATAAATGTATTTCATAAAGAAACTCTTATTACACATGTAGTAGATGGGTTTTTTTCACATAAACACATCCATTTTTTTAATTTTTGTATTGTTTTAACTATTACTTGCTTGTAAGCCACCCCGAGTCCCTTCTGGAAAAGGGGTCAGGGTATAAATAAAACTATTTCTTCTTTTTCTTTAAGCACTGTACCCAGCATGCCGATCACCACTGGGACCACCTTTACTGGCTTGTGCCAGTCTTAGTTAGATCTTTACATTCTTGTATTGTGTAAGCTTTTCCAGTTGCTTCCTGTCAATTCTGCTGTCCCCTGGGGTTGCAACATTGACAATCCATACTTTGTTTTTTCCATGATTGTGAGGTCAGGAGTATTGTGCTCCAAAATCTAACAGTCTGAATGTGGAAGCCCCAAAGTAGTTTGACGTGTTCATTTTCTGTAACTTTTTCAGGCTTGTGATCCCACCAGTTCTTTGTCACACACACATGGTATTTGTGGCACAAGTTCCAATAGATCATCTAAGCAACGGTGTTATGCCTCTGTTTGTAGTCCGTCTGCGCAATCTTCTTGCAGCAGCTGAGCATGTTATTACTACTATTACTGTTGTTGTTGTTATTATTATTATTATTATTATTATTATTGAAATCTGTAATATGTGGTACATGGAAGCAGACTGGATAAAAATTTAACTGCCATCATGCCATGGCTCAATTGTATGTGTCAAAACATGTTGATTCTGGTGCTTACAGGCTCCATGTAACTCTGGCTACATTTAAAAGAACAACTATGTTGTTTTTCATAGGACACTTCCCTATGAAATTTTTTACTTTGCTTCATATTGCTTCATTCTAAATTTAAGGGATTTCCTGTTATATTATCAACATGTGATTGAACCAGCTGACCAATAGAAGCATCATGAGGGTAGGTTTTGGAATACTGTCATAAGACAGGAAAAGAAAAGGGATCTAAAAGGAGACAAATTGTGTGAGAATAGTCTCAAGCGCTGGAGCCAACTTATCTGCAGTCACAGAGGAATTTGCTTAAGGATAAAAAAAAATGAATGCAGTTTCCAAAGGCTTGGATTAAAAATCTAGGAACACAAGGCAGAAATATTTGTATACATTTTCATCACAAGTACCTTTGTCTCCTTGGCTGACTTAAAATGTTGCTTTCTCCACTGCTTTTCAAAAACTGGACACACAACATAGGCTGAATCACTTTCATTGAGCTCAAACAGGTCCTGCCTTTCCAGTGGTTTATTGTAACCTAAAGTTATAATACTGATTAAAAGGAAAACCAGACAAGTCAATTATTAATTAATATGAAGCTAAAGCAGCAATGACACACAAAGTAGAAAAAATATTCTAGGCAAAACAAAGATGCCAGGGCTGGACTCTGGAGAAACCGGCTTGTTTTCAAATGTTGAACATGGGAAATGAGGCTTTTCCCCACTCACACTAGATCTCTTATGAAAATAAGATTAAAGGACCAGCAAAAAAAAAAAAAAAGGTATCCAGAAGAAGAAGAAGCTTCAAGTATTATGCTTTCATAATTACAAAAGCATACAAAGCTGAGGAACTCACCCCCCCCCCCACCCCACCCCATACACATTTGTTCAGTGAACAGGTGCTGAAACCTCAAAATAAGGAGGAAACAAAATGAAAACAAGAACTCTTTCTCCCTTTCCTTGTATTGAGTAAAACATTGCCTTATTTTAAAAATGTGGAGACATGAAAGCATATTCAGTACAGAGCCCATTTTTTAATGTCAGAAACAGGCTTTAGATACTAATATTAATACATGAAGCTATGTATACATTTTTCAGGCTTTATCATTATTTAGCCACCTGGCTCTAGGTTTCTTTAGACATTTGTCTCCCCTAAGTGATCACTGATCAGATGTACATTAGAGGAAGTTGGAACAAGTTCTGCTCTGTCTCTGTCATCATCCCTAACTATTTGAAGGAGTCATCCCTGCAGCAGAGAGCCCATGCTTTTATAAATGGGGACCTGCTGACATGATTCCAGACTTGCTACTAGTTATTTGCCATCTGATTCATAGAGAACTGAATGGAAAAGAACTGAAACAAGGTGAGCTCCCGTCTGTCAGCTATAGCTTCTCACACGGGGACATGAGAGAAGCCTCCCACAGGATGGTAAAACATCCATGCTTCACCTGGGCAACATCCTTGCAGATGACCAATTCTCTCACACCAGAAGTGACTTGCGGTTTATCAAGTCGCTCCTGACACACAAAAAAGTCCAAAAACAATAATGTGAGTAGATTAACAGGTACCACTTAGGTGAGGAGGTAAAAGGCGCCCATGCAAACATGCGGCAATTCAGTCAAGAAGGCATCCACGGACAACAGGCTCTTCAGCATGAAAAATGGAACAAGAGCACCTCTCCATGGCCAGAAGTTGAGCACAGCCTCCAGATTCCAGAGATGAAAAGAGGGAAGCCGTTACCTCTGTCTGTGTACTGTCTGTCTTTGTTGTTAATTGTATAATGGCATTGAATGTTTGCCATATGTGTATTCTGTAATCCGCTCTGAGCCCCCTCGGGGAGATAGAGTGGAATATAAATAAAGTATATTATTATTTATGTGCCTGCAGCAAAACTTAGAAAAGATGGCTTTTTGACTATAACTTCTGAAATCTCTCCAATCAGCACAACCCCAGCAAATATGCCTTGAAATAACATCACCAAGTGAAGAGACATGAAAATATGAAGTGAATTCCATATTCCAGGAAAAGGTCAGAGATTCTATTCTACATTTTCAGAGGGAAGATATGTGACAGCATTGTTCCCAACAAAAATATAATGAGAGGGAAAAATAGAGGGAAAAACTTAAAAGTGATTATGGGAAACATCATCATCACTATCTTCCTATAACAGTACAGTAATAGATATTACCATTTGCCCCTCTCACACTAGATAAAAGCACCAGTTCTTCCTGTAAGCAAAAGTTTAAGACAATATTCAAAAGCAGCAGAGTGGAATACTTTGGTGAGATGGTGGTGGTGCAGAAGAGAAATATCTGGAAAGGGGTTGATGTGTGACATGTGGAACGGCTGATCACAAATTTGTGACCAATCCAGCATTATATGTTTCAGATCTTGTAAAATAACCTGTATAAGCCTCTTGAATATCAATGGGACAAGAGCATACAACTAAAGAACCCTATGGACTATTTGGTCTATTGTATATTAACATTTCATTCACTCCCTGCACTATACAATTTACATACTCAGTCTTTTTGGTCTAGACCATTTTGCAATAAGTTTTTGACTCAAAGCATATGCAATGACCCCTGACATATAACATAATATTGTGTCATAACTAACTTACCTAACAAGATTGGCTTTTAAACTTTTACAAATGATTTTTACAAGAACAATTTTAAAGATATTTATCTTAAAATGCATTCTATTGAGTCAGAGTTGGAGAAACATGAGGCCAACATGATTCACTTGTTTAAACATTGTTCAGTTCTCTACATTTAATATTGACTCAGTCTAATGGATATATGCCACAGATAACCAATGAAGAATGAAAACACCCAACACACTGGGATGAAGAAAGAAAGCTTGGTGTTGTAAGTTATGCTTACAGTGGCTATTCTTCCTCCTGCAGCCAGCCTAAACAACTAAACACAAATGAAAAATTTCAACAGAAAGGAAGAGACCATGAAAATGAACAAAATCTGGCTACCAGTATTAAAAAACTCTAAAATTATAACAGCTAAACAACAGAGAGGAAAAAACCAGGCACAGATTAACACCTCCCAGCAACAGATTTTCCCAGACTCAGGCAGGCCTTCAAATGCTAATGAAAGTGATCAGCTAAACATTCACACCTAACTGCAGCAGGGAAGAGCTCCTTGCCCCAGCCCAGCCATTCCACAGATATATAAACCCATTTTTCCTACTTCCAACAGACCTTCTCAACCTCTGAGGATGCTTGCCATAGATGCAGGCGAAACGTCAGGAGAAATGCCTCTAGAACATGGCTCCATAGCCCGAAAAAACCCACAAGAACCTAACTAAACACAGTTAGCTCAGAGATTCACTTGCAGAACCCACACAAACAAGGCACACTCCATAACATACTCACTGAGGGGTTGTTTTATGGGAAGGGTGTACAGTTACATATAGTCATTATTTTCACTCTCCTGTGAACCCATTATTGACCCAAGACATGTTTCCTGAGGCACAAAGAGGGCATCTCTTCCCATCTGATGAATAAAAGCAAACCAGAATGAGAGCTACATGTTACTTCAGCATAAGCTACACAATGCTATCTTCCACTTCCACCAAGGTGATGTAATACCAAGTGGGAAGTACCAGCAGCTCTACTCTCCAACAAGTATGTTATTGATTTTAAGTCACGTACCAAATAAAATCCTTCAACACGCTAAGATCCATGCCTTCATTGCCCACAGTCTAGTGTGTAATAGTCTAGTCAGCAAATATCCTCCATACTAGTTACTAGGGGGTTTGCAAAATTTCATTTTTAATTCATAAGTCGTATCTAGTTCGTAAGTTTTGTATATACAAACAGATATTAAGAAACGGGGAAGGGGGATGCAAAAACTTAAGAATAAAAACTCACCCAGGACTGGGTTGCTGTGAGTTTTCTGAGCTGTATGGCCATGTTCCAGAAGCATTATCTCCTAATGTTTCACCCACATCTATGGCAGGCATCCTCACAGGTTGTGAGGTCTTTAAAAGATTCCCAAAAATCAGTAGATGTGTGGATGTTTCTGAAGTTTGGGGGGAATAATCTCCTGTTATCTTGTGCCATTGTACAGAAAATTCGAGGAGATAGTTCTTGTAGTTTTTTTTAAAAAAATGTTGTTTGTAAAAAAAAAATCCCAAAACTCTGTAGGTAAGTGAAACGTTCCGAAACTTGATGGGCTAATGGTGGTAAATGTGTTCTATCATTGTAGCAAGTTTCACCCCGATAGCTTGATGGGCTAATGGTGGTAAATGTGTTCTATCATTGTAGCAAGTTTCACCCCGATAGCTGTATAAAGGAGGGAGAAAGGAACCCCTGGAATGTGTGTGTGTGTGTGTACACACATACTTTTACAAAATACTGTTACTTTGAGAGACCTGGTAGACAGGGAAATAACTGGCAATCAACAAAAGTAATAAGTACTATTTGTAAATGTTAATTAAACACTTTAAAAACCTTGCCATATTTTCAGAATCAAGTTAAAGTTAAGAAGCTTGTTCAATTTACCTTCAAGACTACTGAAAATTTAAAACAATATGTACCTGCTGAACCAAGAATATGTTAGCTTGCTGTAAAGGGAAGCCCTTTCTTCTGGGCTGCATTTCTGTAGAAACAAACAATAAATTAATTACTCCTAAATTAAAGGTGTCTATCAGCAGACTATATATAATAAAATAGAATTTACCAGGAGTCTAAAATTTTGCTAACAAAAATTAACATGTACCACAACATACTTCCGATTTGCATATTTTATCTAGCATTGACAATATGTATGCTACTTTAGAAAGTGAATATTTCTCAAGTCCTAATCTCTTGTGTATCTGTAAAAGTAGATATACAAATATTTGTAATATTTATTTATCATATAGAAGCAAACCAAGGGTTACAGTTGTAATGCATTCAAAAAACACAATGTTTAAAAAACTTGGCATTATACTAAATGTCCTTTGACCAATAGCTGGCCACTTGGAGTGCCTCTGGTGTCACTTTGAGAAGGTCCTCCATTGTGAATGTGGCAGGGCTCAGACTGCATTGTATGTAATAGGTGGTCTGTGGTCTGCTCTTCTTCACACTTGCATTTTGTGGACTCCACTTTGTGGCCCCATTTCTTAAGGTTGGCTCTGCATCTCTGGTGCCAGAGCGCAGTCTGTTTAGCACCTCCCAAGTCACCCAGTCTTCTGTGTGCCAGGGGGAATCTCTCATTCAGTATCAGCCATGGCTTGAGGTTCTGGATTTTAGCCTGCCACTTCTGGAGATGAGATTGTTCATTCCCCTGTTTCCTGAAGAGCAATCCCAATACAGGCAGTCCCCAAGTTATGAAAAACAAATGTTCTGTAGCTCTGTTCTTTAGTTGAATTTGTTTGTAAGTCAGAATAAGTACATTTTTAAAGTGTGACTCCAGCCAAATATATACTGTATACATAGATAAAGATATAGAGATTTGGATAGCACGGGGAAGGGTGAACATCTCTGTGGTGTTTGTTTTGCTGTGTGTGCCTCTATTCAGAAGATTTCACTTCACTTTCTGTCCCTGTGAGAATTGGATTTTGCAAAAAATGGCTTTGGTGTGGAAACAAGAACTAGTGAAAAAGCCTCAGTGGAGACACCTTTTTCCCATGTTAATTCTTTCAGGAGTGAATTTCCCTCCTTAAGGGTAAATTTTTCTCACCTCCTGTTGTCTCAGCCCGCTCTTAAGTATGAATCATTTTGAAGTTGAAAGTTTGTAACTCAGGGATGTGTGTACCTTTAGTTTTAGGCACACATACAAAAACTTCATCATATTCAGGAAAAATGCCAAGCAACAAAAGAGTTAATACCCTCAAGCATCAGAACTGCTCCATCCAACTTGCGCCATTCACCTGTATTTCTGAATGTAAAATTTATTTGCTCTTACATATGCTTTGGACATCTGTTCCAAAGGTGAAAGTGCATTTAAGGACACTCAGAATGAACTATCCTGTTTACACAGAAATCTCATCATCTAGATTATAAGAAAGCACCAGGGGAAGAAGTCCTTCTACATCTGAGGGTACAATTTCTAAGTGGGTATATGTGAACTTAGATCAGTGTTTCTCAACCTGAGGGTTGGGACCCCTGGGGGGGGGATCACGAGGGGATGTCAGAGAGGTCGCGAAAGATCCTCAGATAACACAGTATTTTCTGTTGGTCATAGGGGTTCTGTGTGGGAAGTTTGGGCCAATTCTATCATTGGTGGGGTTCAGAATGCTCTTTGATTGTAGGTGAATTATAAATCCCAGCAACTTCAACTCCCAAATGTCAAGGTCTATTTCCCCCAAAATTCACCAGTGTTCACATTTGGGCATATTGAGTATTCATGCCAAGTTTGGTCCAGATCCATCATTGTTTGAGTCCACCATGCTCTCTGGATGTAGGTGAACTACAACTCCAAAACCCTTCTAGTATTTTCTGTGTGCCAAGTGTGTTTTAATTCCATTGGTGGTGGAGTTCAGACTGTAGGTTAACTATAAATCCCATTCATCTATAACTCCCAAATGACAAAATCAATCTCTCTCTCTCTCTCTCCCCCCCCCCCCCCCCCCCCCCCCAAGTATTCAAATTTGGACGTATCAGGTATTTGTGTCAAATTTGGTCCAGTGAATGAAAATACTTCCCATATATCAGATAGGAGCCCCCGGTGGCACAGTGGGTTAAAGGACTGTGCCGGCAGGACTGAAGATCGACAGGTCGCAGGTTCGAATCCGGGGAGAGGCGGATGAGCTCCCTCTATTAGCTCCAGCTCCTCATGCGGGGACATGAGAGAAGCCTCCCACAAGGATGATAAAACATCAAAAATCATCCAGGCGTCCCCTGGGCAACGTCCTTGCAGATGGCCAATTCTCTCACAACAGGAGCGGTTGCTCCTGACACGACCAAAAATATATCAGATATTTACATAGTGATTCATAACAATAGCAAAATTACAGTTATGAAGTAGCAAGGAAAATAATGTTATGGTTGGGGGTCACCACAACATGAGAAACTGTATTAGGGGGTCGTGGCATTAGGAAGGTTGAGAACCGCTGACTTAGATGTATTCTTCAGAATAAATTAGCAACAAATGTATGTCCTGCATCGTTATACTTGTGAGCTCTCCATGGTAGAAAATAACTTTTCGAAGACAGGGAATTAGAATTTACTGGGTTAAGTGCAAACCTTGAGATTTTGGTTCATACATGTCTCAACTTGTTCAGCAACGCAGTCAATTACAGGGTAGATCTGTCATTTTTAAAAACCATACCTTTGATTTTCAATGCACTTCAAGGAGAGGCAAACATGCACTTCCTGCATTTAAGAAGTCCTGCTGTGTATCTATCAAACAAACTTTCTCCTTCCCTTGGCATCAGGAAAAAGGTTTCACATCCAAGCTCATCAGGGCAGGGGCTGAGTATTTCCAAATATATAGTATGGATACATCTTACAAAGCCTTCCAGATGTTGTTGAATTACAATTTCCTTTGTTTCTGTTATGCCAGCTTTTGGGAGCTGTTATATATACAGCAACATGATGGTCCTTGTGATCTCTTTCAGCTCTATGATTCTAAGTTGGTGACAAGTTGATTCCTATCTCTGACCTATAGAGTATAATCAATAATCACAGTTGACCTCCATCTTTCTATAACTGAGGGAGAAGGGAGGGTCTTTAATCCAGTTACTGAATGGCAAGTCATATTATAGGTAAAACCCATTCGTCTAATAGGTCTACTCTAACTGGAACTAGCAATTAAGAGCTTGGACAGGCTCCCACTTCAGGTGAGAAGCCTGCCCCCAACCATACCAGATGTATAGTGTGGCATGAAGAAAGCCCTCCTTGTGTCGTTGAAGGCTTTCATGGCTGTAATCAATGGGTTGCTGTGAGTTTTTCAGGCTCTATGGCCATATTCCAGAAGCATTCTCTCCTGATGTTTCACCCACATCTATGGCAGGCATCCTCAGAGATTGTGAGGTCTGTTGGAAACTAGGTTTATATATCTGTGGAATGTCCAGGGTGGGAGAAAGAACTCTTTCTGCTTGAGACAAGTATGGATGTTGCAATTGGTCACCTTGATTAGCAGAGAATGGTCTTGCAGCTTCAAAGACTGGCTGATTGCTGCCTGGAGAGCTTTTATTGGGAGGTGCTAGCTGGCCCTGATTGTTTCCTGTCTCAAATTTCCCCCACCCCTTTTTAGTGTTGCTCTTTATTTACATTTTTAACGGAAAGGAGGAAGCCATGAAAATCAACAAAATCTGGCTACTAGTATTTTTTAAAAAAACCTCTGAAATCAGAGCACTATATAAAGAGCAGCACTCAAAAACTGGGAATTCCAGATAGGAAACAATAAGGGCCAGCTAACACCACCCCCCCCCCCCCCCCCCCCCAAGATAGGAAACAGAAGGCTTTGAAGCTGCAAAGCCATTCAATGCTAATCAAGGTTGTCAATTGCAACATTCACAATTGCCTCAAGCACACAAGAGTTTTTCCCCACCCTGGAAATGCCACAGATCTATAAACCTCACTTGCCTAGTTTCCAACAGACCTCACCTCTGAGGATGCCTGCCACTGATGTGGGCGAAACGTCAGGAGAGAATGCTTCTGGAACATAGCCATACAGCCTGGAAAAGTCACAACAACCCAAAGACTCCCCTGTTCCTCTGCCAGTTTTACCACTACAATTCCTCTTTACCTGCCATGGCAACATATTATAGAAATTCTGGGGTATGGACTTTGGAGTACTCTCTGGATGAGAAGTCTCAACGTATGTGTGTGAGAGGGAGATAAAAGTTGGAAAGAACTTTGAAGGCACAGAACAATGTAGATTTATGGGGATCCCATTAATTTCATAGGGTTTTCCTAGGTAAGCAACACTCAGAGGTGTTTGGGCCAGTTCCTTTCTCTGAATAATAGTTTGCAGCACTTTGAATTCATTGGTGGACTCCCATCTGAGCACGAACTTGTCCTAACCCTGCTTAGCTTCCAAGATCACCTGAGATCCGGTGCCTTGCCCCCTGTATCTCCCTCCCGGCTCTCCTCCTGCGGGCAAACCCCAGGCGGAGGCGCCTCTCCTCCTCTGCAACGTACCTTTCTGCCGGAGGGTTGGAGCCCAAGGTAGGCGATTCCTCGCCTTTCGCCCGGCATCGCGCCCAGGAAGGAAAGAGAGAGCCTTCTCCTTTCTGAGCACCGCTTCTCCCAGCAACGCTCCTCCTAATCCTTCTCCCGGAAGCCAACGGGGAAGGGCTTCAGGCGGCCAAACCCAGGGTTGGTCGCCCTGGGTGGGAAGTCAAGAAGGACGATTGCAACCAAGCGCCGCCCTCCTTCGCTTTCCATTGGGAAAGACTTCGAAAGGCAGCAGCAGGCTCTTATGATTCTAAGGGTGACACTCTAATGCCCTATGAACTCAGCCTGGTCCCACTTGAACTACCATGGCTCAGTGCTATGGACTCGGGGGACTTGCACTTTTACAATGTCTGTAGTCTTCTCTGATAAACACTGGTGCCTCGCCAAACTACAAATCTCAAGATTCCATAGCATTAAGCTATGCCTGTTGTTGTTGTTGTTATCCCTAGAATCCCAAGAATCCCAGGTTGCGGTGGTGGCCAGTGGAGCTTTCGCACTATTAACACTTATGCGCCAGTTGTGCCCATACCTTGGGAAGTCAGACTTGGCCACAGTGGTCCACACTCTTGTAACATCTAAGATAGACTACTGCAATGCACTCTATGTGGGGTTGCCTTTGAAGACTGTTCGGAAGCTTCAAATAGTCCAATGAGAGGCAGCCAGGTTAATAACTGGAGCAGCATACAGGGATCTGTATAACTCCCTGTATAACTGGAGCAGCATACACCGAGCACAATGCAAAGTGCTGGCTTTGACCTAGTAAAAGGTAAAGGTTGTCCCCTGACATTAAGTCCAGTCATGTCCTACTCTGGGGGTTGGTGCTCATCTCCATTTCTAAGCCGAAGAGCTGACGTCATCCATAGACATCTCCAAGGTCATGTAGTTGTCATTACTGCATGGAGCGCCGCTACCTTCCCGCTGGAGCGGTATTATTTTATTATTATTTACAGTATTTATATTCCACGCTCCTCACCCCGCAGGGCTCAGGGTGGATCACAATGCACATATATGTGACAAACATTCAATACCATAGACACACAACATATAGAGACAGACATACAGAGGCTATTTAACTTTCCAGCTTCATGAGGGTATGCTTCGAATTCTGACCACTGAGGGAGCTGTCACTTCACCATCCACTTGTGACACCGATGGAGTATTTCCTCATTCTTTTGCATGCTGATGGAGAGTTTTATGGTGTCGTAAATTACTTAAATTAGCCTCCCCACATAAGTGGTACCTAAATTTCCTACTTGACAGATGCAACTATCTTTTGGGCTGCAAAAGTCGACAACAAGCTAGACAAATGGCCGGGAGCTTACTCCAACCTGTGCTGGCTTTGAGCTCATGACCTTTTGGTCAGTAATGATTTTAATGCAGCTGACTCCCAATCAGCTGCACCACAACCCAGTCTGATCTATTCACATTGTCCCTGGAAATGAGCAGCCAGATCCGTACCTGCTATTGCTATTAGCCTGTTATAGCACTGTACTTAATACTTGGTCCCCTCATATTTTGAGTTTGCACTAGCCTTGGCCCGGACTTTTAATTGCTCTGAACAGGCAGGATTATTTTTTAATATATATGTGTTATTGTGATAATTTTATGCTTATGTTATGTTGTTAATTTTATGTTATGCTGTTTACTCTGTATGTTTTGGTGATGTTGCTCTGAGTCCCCTTCAGGGAGATAGAGTGGTATATAAATAAAGTTTTATTATAATATTATTTTCAAACTACTAGGTTGCAGAAGCTGGGGCTGACAGCGGAAGCTCATGCTGTTCCCCAGATTAGAACCTGTGACCTTTCAGTCAACAAGCTCAGCAGCTCAGCGGTTTAACCCACTGCGCTACCTTAAATGGCCCTGGCTCAATTTACTTGCAAGAATGCATATCCCCATATGAACCATTGTGGAGATTAAAATCCTCCGAAGAGGTCCTGCTCTTCATCCCACCACTGTCACAGGGGATGAGAGAGGGGGCCTTCTCAGTAATTGCCTCCCAACTATGGAACTCCCTTCCTGGCGAGATTAGATCAGCCCACGCCCTCCTGTCCTTCGGAAATATAGTAAAAACTTGAGTGAGTCAAGCTTTCGGAACAGTGCAATAAAGCAGCAATAGGAAACCTTACCAGGCCAATTAGATTTGATGTGGATGATCGAGATGGTTTAAACAGTGTATTTTAATGTTGAGACAAATGTTTTTAATGTTTATGTATGCATATAATTTATTCATGTCCCAGCATTGAATGTTTGCTGTTTGTATGTTGTGCTCCACCCTGAGTCCCCTTCAGGGTGAGAAGGGGTGGAATATAAATGATTTAAATAAATAAATAATATTGTTATTTGATACACAACAAGATCAGTACACAGCAAATATGATCTCTATGCTCACTGTTGTATTGCATCACAATTCAGACACTTCCCAAGTGTCTAGGACTATGTGATGTACTGGCGAATAATACGTGCAGATCTGAGTAGGATGGCTTTTGCTGCTGACAGATGGTAATTTTGTCAACACCTATGGTTTTTCAGTGCAGGCCAAGATCTTTATGCACTGCACCCAGTGTGCCAATCACCACTGGGAACACCTTTACTGGCTTGTTCCAGAGTCTTTGCAGTTCAGTCTTTAAATCCGCATATTGTGTCATCTTTTCCAGTTGTTTCTCTTCAATCCTGCTGTCAACTGAGATTGCAACATCAACAATCCATACTTTGGTTTTTTTCCCCCCACGATCATGTCAGAAGTCTTGTGCTCCAAAACTGTCAGTCTGAATTCGGGAGTCCCAGAGTAGTTTGACGTGTTCATTTTCTGTAACTTTTTCAGGCTTGTGATCCCACAAGTTCTTTGTCACAGGCAGATGGTATTTGTGGCACAAGTTCTAATGGATTATCTGAGCAACAGTATTATGCCTCTGCTTGTAGTCTGTCTGTGATCTTCTTACAGTAGCAGAGGATGTGATCAATCATTTTGTCTGCTTCCTTGCAGAGTCTACACTTGGATTCTGTTGACAACTTTTCAATTCTGGCTTTGATGGCATTTGTTCTAATGGCTTGTTCTTGAGCTGCCAGAATCAGGCTATCTGTCTCCTTTTTCAAAGTTCCATTTGTGAGTCACATCCATGTTTTTTTCCTCGTCAATTTTGCTCTTAATTTGTTGTTGTTGTTATTGTTATTATTATCTTTATTTATATCCTGCTTTTCTCCCCTTGGGGACTCAGGGTGGCTAACAATCCACACTAGACACATTTTAAAAGTGTAATACAAAAGTTAAAAAAATAAATGGTAACAGTGTGGTAAAAACAGAATTAAAATACAGTAAACACACTGAAATGGCCTTTATCATTCATCCCCCCCCAAACCCACCCAACCTTCCCAAGTGGGCCAAACAGCATGTAGACGAACCCCAAATGCTATTGATCTCTCTTCCATAATCAAGTATTGGGAACTCCAAAATGCTTCAAAATCCCAAACGCATCCACATGGATGACTGAGATCAGGGACACCTTGGTTTCCTGAGAGTTCTATGTACATCCACAGCATTTACTCATGCATCTAAGGTGCTTGTGAAAGATCAATGAATTCCGTATTTTGACCCAGGTCCAAGGGAGATGCAAATATTCCACAATCCGGAAACCCCCCCCCACCAAAATTGCAACCTTACAAATCCAAAGATACACTGCAGAAATGCAACAAAACACTTAGTGAATTGAGAACGTGTGCATATGGGCAGTTGCTGAGGACTCAGCTTCTGATACCCTTCTGAGGTGGATATTCAACTTCTCAGAGAGTTCTGATTGAACATTGGGCCATAGTACATTGTTCACTCCCTCTACCATTATTCAGTGGAAGCATTCTTTTACACAAAATGTTCCAGTTTAGTTCCACAAATCAGTATCTTCTTGCAGTAAAACTGAATAGAGGCTGCAAGCTGGGTCTCACATTCAGTTAATTACTTGATTCCTGAACACTGATGGATGTGACTTGGCCTTGATATATGAGGAAAACTGCAAAAAAGTTTTTTTTTTGTTTGAAGCAAAATAAAATAGAAGTTGTACCTGTGATGCTTTCTGGGTGGTTTTGTTATCATCATCATCATCTCCATAATCATTTATTGTATGCCTTCATCTCATTTCTAATTTATGGCAACCCTATGATGAACCAGTGCTCAAACTACTGTACCACCCAGGAAAATTTGTGGACAACAGCCATTATAAAGCTTTTCTTTTCCATCAATTTCAAAGGGCAGTATTGTCTTGCCAAGATACAAAACTGCATACAGCTAGAAATCAAAACTGCACTATTGTTTCAAAGTTATAGTGTATACCATGAGGAATTAGACATGATAAGCAATAGCCTTATCTAGTCCACAATGCTTTAATACATGTCAACCAATACTGTGAAACATATGACTAGTAATTCCCAAATGTACATATGACTAATTAGTAAGAAAGGTCTCTGGGGTCTCTAATATATGGCTAGACAGCAGAAGGAAGTAATCCCTAATACAGCAAGAAAACAGAGAGCAGCACAAGCTAGAAGACTTCATTCAGCTCTACAAATAAATATAATCACTATGAAATGATTTTTTAACTCTCCATAAGTAAAAAAAAAGGATCTTGTATCTAATGGACTGTGTTCACAAAAGCATATGACAAAAAATTCTACTTCCCAACTAATCAAATATGTTACTGATTTCCTTTCTGTATTGTCAAAGGCTTTCATGGCTGGAATCACTGGTTTGCTGTGAGTTTTCTGGGCTGTATGACAGGCATCACTTCTGATGATACCTGTCGTAGGTGTGGGTGAAATGTCAGGAGAGAATGCTTCTGGAACATGACCATACAGCCCAGAAACCTCACAGCAATCCAGATTCCCTTTCTGTTTTCTGCTGAACACAGCTTTCTCTTTGACCATTTTTTTCAATGTGCAGACCTAGGGATAAAATTGAACATTGGTTGAGTGACACTGCAACAAAGCTTTCTCTTTCTTTCTCCTTCCACACTTCATGGGATTTCCCAGTCCGCCCATGAATCAGTCCGCCCTTTTGGGAAGCAGAACTGATACTGCCATTCCACCAGCAGAAATCTACTACTAGAAGAGCATCTGTGCAAATATAATTTATCATTTTACATTTAAGTCACCTTTACTTTCATTATCATTACTTTTGTCATTGAAAAGAACAAACTAATAAAGTATAAAATATTTCATAGGGTATTAAAAAAAACAAAGAATTGATATTTTAACCACAATTTTTATTATTGTATTTGCATCCCATTGTGGCACTGTATGAAAACTGAAAATCTGTCTTTATTTACCTTAAAATATAAATAACATAAGTTTATAATACTCTGCAAACAAGAAAACATTGACATTCACATACCTGTTTAACCTTTTAGGTTCATAAATATTTTTATGAGTCAGACATGTTTTTTTTTCATGTGTGACCAAATATTCTTGGAGAAATTATATTTCATTCTCTTGTGTCTTTTAATAAGTGTGAGTAAGCCAGCAATATTGTACTTTTGTTTTTCTGTACTAACACTGTCCTTTTTGTAAATATTTACTCAGAATGTAATCATACAGATAGCAATAAAATGTTTCCAAGTGAAACTACATGTGCATCGTTGAATTCAGTGGCACTTTCCACGCAAAGTATGCTCTTCCCATGCTTAAAGTCAATTCAAGCATGCAGATATAAAAATACAACCTTTTTAAATACAGAAGCATTAGGTATTTCAGGAAGGGAATGAGAGAGCTCTTCCACAAGGCAAAATAGCAAGCTAAGTAAAGTAAACTCAAGTGTGAAATAATGGATTTGTATGTGCAGGAAGTTCTTTAAAAGACAAAACAAAACACTATATTTCTCCAAACAAAGGTTTCCTCCAATAACCTGAAGAGGAAGAGCCCAGGAAGGGCTGTTCTGCATACAGCTCTGTGTATCTAAATAGCCAAACTCAAAAACAAAAACGGTAACAACATAAGAACAGTGTTGAGTAATTACAAGGCATATTAAAGGCATCTCATGTTTACTGAGAATAAAGGCATTCAATGAGACTATGGCACTTTGGGTAATCTTTTAAGCAGCATGTATACTACTATATACTGATAAAATATATGGCAATAATGAAACAGACCTCCATGGAACAGACCTCTATGAAGGGACTTCTTTCTTTTTCTTCATATTTAACCTCAAACTTCAGTAAAATCTTCCTCAGATTGAAATTATTGTAACTCATCTCTTCCATACAGTGAACTGCAAAGAGGCCATTCCCTCTTTAAACTAAGCCAATAAAGTGTGTGCCATTTTAGTTTCATTCATTTTTTACTTGTTTTTTTTTTCTTTTCATTTTCTACACTGCTGTCACTGTCACTAGATTCCTGAATTCGTTTTCTTTTATATGTGCCTGCCTTCGCCAGATACTGTGTGTAGTTCTTTGGTTCTGAGTAGACAGATACAAAAGAGTTTTGTCCTGGACTAAGGTAGGGTGATAGAGGAAAACCCAGAGGTGGTGGCGGCGTTGCCATCTGGTAGCAAGGGAAGTGCTGTCCAATTGGGCTGAAAGGAGCATATTGCTGTGCCAAGAAGTATGTTGTCTAGAAAAGGGAAAAGAAATTATACATTCAAGCCTTACTGAATAGATGATTGCTGATACATTAGTTCAGAGAGAACAAAATACATTGGATCAACTTTTATTGCCTTACAAGCCTTGGAAGCCCCAGAGCGAAAACAGATATCTGCCCTCCTGATATGGGAGGCTCCCAAAAAACTAATCAGGGCCCTCACCAAAAGCTGGGACACAAAACGGGGCATGGTTTACCTCGAATGCACAACCCTAGTATCTATAACTATGTCCTGTTTGTTATTATTCCAAACGTACCATGTTTTGATAGGGAGAATAAGCTTGATATGGACCATTATTCATCTGAAAAGGGCCAACAGGACTACCACCATAAGGCTCTTCAGTCCTGTAATAAACACCAAAATGGGCATGTTATGGCTAAAATGTCATGGATAAAATACCTATCAGAAAATAATTATATATGTGGATTGGGTTCTTTACAGTCTAATCTTTTATCTATCAAAAAGAATGAATGGTAAAAAATCTAAGTCATGTGTGTATATGTAATAACTACAGGGGACAATACCTGTATATGGTTGATTGTACATCGCTGTCCATATTCTCACAGGAACTATTTAAATCTAGAGGATGAGAACTTCCTGTGGACGAAACAAGTAAAGGCAACATTAAGATTAAAATATGTCATGTTAAGATTTGCATATACAACATATGGTTTCTCACTATAGCTGAGGACAATTTTCTATTGAGAAACAGTGTTAAAATATACAGAATTCCACATGTAAACACTTTAAAAATGGAGAGAGTAGGCAGGATGCTTTTGAAATTATTTATAAGAAACAAAGAAGTTTCTGTTAAACCTCAAAGAAAATAGATGGTTTTAAATTGAGATGAGATGAGATGACATTATATGTTTATTGTGGTGGCTACATATACAAACAAAGATAAGTATATTACATTTTACAACATAAAATCTTAGCCAAAATAATTCCTTGAATGATTACTGATTGATATACTCCAGTTCATGAGTGTCAGTAATTACGCAGATTCACATAAAATTAAAAACTATGATTTACAGTTTGTTGTGTAATGGAATGAAAACCGTTTGAGGAAATACTAACAATCACTTATGCTAGATTTTATGGAAAGCAGTGTGAAATATCAATAATATCAATAGTAGCAAGTAAAAAGAACAGAAAAAAGAACACCCATAAATTAATGGAACAATTCTTGAATGATGCTACCATCTAACCTGCAATGCATGACTTCCACACATTGTGACAGAGTTTTTAAAGAAAGAATTATTGGTAGGTGGTGAAACCTACCAAATCGGTATTGCAGTTTAATTGGTCTTCCATATAAGCGAATCCCATTCAGCAAACCTATGGCATAAGGCACTGATTCTGTGTGTTTAAAGCAGACAAATCCAAAAGCCTTGGGTTTTCCATCTTTGTCCTTGCATACAGTCACGTTGGTTATTGGCCCAGCCTGCAAGAAACGTAAACATTACTTTTTTATAAACAACCTTTTACTTGCTCATACCAAGATCTGATGCACCATCATATCAAAAGATATACATATTTAGGTGTCTGTCATTAAAACACACCCAGCATCAAACACAAAACATTATGCTGCTTACACAACAATTTGGCTTCAAAATATTTGCTGGGTCGCTGTGAGTTTTCTGGGCTGATGTTTCTCCCACATTTATGCTATGGCAAGCATCCTCAGAGGTTCTGAGGTCTGTTGGAAACTAGGCAAGTGAGGATTATATATCTGTAGAATATCCAGGGTGGGAGAAAGAACTCTTGTCTGCTTGAGGTACATGTGGATGTTGCAACTGGTCACCTTGATTAGCACTGAATGGCCTTGCAGCTTCAAAGACTTGCTGCTTCCTGCATGGGGTCCTTTGTTGGGAGGTGTTAGCTGGCTCTGATTGTTTAATGTCAGGAATTCTCCCATTGTTTGAGTGTTCCTCTTTATTTAATGTCTTGATTTTACATTTTTTTAAAAATACTGGTAGCCAGATTTTGTTCATGTTCATGGTTTCCTCCTTTCTGTTGAAATTGTCCACATGCTTGTGGATTTCAATGGCTTCTCTGTGTTGTCTGACATGGTGGTTAGTGGTCCCTACTCACACATCCATCAAGAAAATCCATCAAATGCTACGTTCAGCAAAGGACAAGAGGGATCCTCTCACCTCTGCAGGAATCTACCATATACCATGCAGATGTGGACAAGTCCACATAGGGACCACTAAATGCAGCATTGCCCAAACACGAATTGAGGAACATGAAAGGCACTGCAGACTAATTCAGCCAGAGAAGTCAGCCATAACAGAGTACCTGGACACAGCACATTATTTGAGAACACAGAAATGCTGCCCCACTCTAACAATACTTGGAAAGTATTTTGGAAATGTCCTTTTGCAAACTCACGGATATAAAATGCAGCAAAATCTAGGCCTCGGTGCTGCATTTCGAATGAGAAATTGTGGGGTTCATTTGTGTGTTGACAAGTTGTTTCTGATTGGTGGAAACCCTAAGGCTTATCACAGCATTTTCTCAGCAGGGTTTCTTTGGAGAAGAGGATTACAATTTAAAGCCTCAAATGTTAATGGTAGTGAGTCACATGGACTGTTTCAGAGAGGAACAACTATGGTCTACCAGATATTTTTAGCTCAACGGTACAATTGCTGATCACGATCCATCATAGTCAAACTCCTTGGAAATGTATCAGGCCCCTTCTACACTGCCATATAAAATCCAGATTATCTGCTCTGAACCAGATTATATAGCAGTGCAGACTCATACACTGAGCAGTGGCACAGTCGTTAAACCACTAAGCTGCAGAACTTGCTGACCGGAAGGTTAGTGGTTCGAATCCGTGGGATGGGGTTAGTTCCTGTCGTTAGCCCCAGCTTCTGCCAACCTAGCAGTTCAAAAATATGCAAATGTGAGTAGATCAATAGATATCGCTCCGGTGATATGACCTTGGAGGCATATACGGAGAATGCCTGCTCTTCGGCTAAGAAATAGAGCTGTGCACCACCCCCCAGAGATGGACTCAACTAGACTTAATGTCAACAGGAAACCTTTACCTTTACTTAGACTCATATAATCCAGTTCAAGGCAGATCATATTGATTATCTGCTTTGATAATCTGGGTTATATGGCAGTATAGAAAGGGCCAATGATGGAAAAGGTGATAGAGTTACTGGAGATGGCTCCTGTACTTTAAATGGTTGTGCAGAATGGGTAACATCTAACTGATCTCTCTTATAGCACAACCAGTTGAAATACCACCTTCTGTGTGTGGATGAATTATGGCAACTTTATTAATTTCATAAGGTTTTGTTAGACAAGGAATGCACAAAGATGGTTGTGCCAGTTCCTTCTTCTGAAATATAGATGGCAGAACCTGGTATTTGTTGTTAGTTTTCATCCAAGTACAGACCGAGTATCCCTTACCTAGAATTCCAGTATCCAAAATATTCCAAAATTGTCCATATGGATGACTGAGATAGTGACACCTTTGCTTTCTGATCATTAAGTGTCCACAAACTTTGTTTCATGCAAAAATAAAAATGCACAATTCCTACTGGCTGTTAGGAATTGTGGGAGTTATAGTCCAAAACATCCGGAGGGCCGAAGTTTGCCCATGTCTGGTATAAATGCTGGAGTGTACTCTTCAAGGTTGAATATTTGAGCATTCACAAAGGGCCCTTCCACACAACCATATAACCCAGAATATCAAGGCAGAAAATCCCACAATATCAGCTTTGAACTAGGATATCTGAGTCCACACGGTGGTATAATCCAATTCAAAGCAGAAAATGTGGGATTTTATTAAGCTGTGTAGAAGGGGCCAAAGTCTTATCTCTGTTAATTGTAGAATTAATGTAGTTTGATATCCCTTTAACTGGCATGGCTCAATGCTATGGAAATCAGAGGAGCTGTAGTTTTACAAGGCCTTTTAGCCTTTTCTGCACTGGTGCTTCACCAAACTACAACTCCCAGGATTCCACAGCATTGAGCCATGCAGTTGATATGGTGTCAAACTGTATTCATCCTACAGTGTGGATGCAGAATGGCTGTACAGTGGTTCCCAACTTTGTGGCCCTTTAAGTGTTTTGGACTTCAATTCCCAGAAATCCCGGCCAGCTTGGCCAACAGCCAGGAATTCGGGGAACTGAAGTCCAAAAGCCTAAAGAACCAAAGGTTGGGAACGGTGACTTGGAGACTCCTGACGTCACACGCTCCCTCACACCGTTCCTTTTCCCTTGGCCACGCCCACCTTACCTAAGCCCCGCCCACGCGCTATTCTAGCCCCGCCCCCTCCGCCCCGTGCACCTGCAGGAAGAGTTCGTAGAGGATTTCCTCGTGGACGCGGCTCTCCAGGTTCCCCACGAAGAGGGTGCGGTCGGGCTCCTCGGCTCTCCCTGAGGCTGCGGCCATGGCCGTCACGTGACGCGCAGCCCGTCAATCAACGCGGGAACTCCATGGGAGCTGGACTATGAGTTGCGGGGGGGGGGGAGAGCAAAAAGGGAGGGTAGTCGAGAGTCGCGAGGGGAGGCCGTAAAGCACCACCCTCAGCGCGACGGGAAAGGAAAGCGCGACTCCTAGAGGCGCGTTTTGCGGCAAATATCAGTCCTCCTGACAGCTTCTGAAGGGCTTGTTGACTGTGCTACAGCGACAGCCGAACCCGACTTCCTTTTGAGAGAGGAGAAGGCGGCTTTTATCGAAGGGCTATTGGGACATGTAGTCCTCAAAAGGAATTGGCGCTACTGGTCAGTTGTAATCCAAAAAGGAGGCCGTGAGAGAGGAAGGAACCCCATTTTAGTATGGCATGAGCAAAAGTCCATTTTATTAAAGCACAGGCCTAAATCCTGTTGCCAGGCCTGCCTGGAGTAGATCCCCTTAGTCATTGCGTGGCGACACACTATTTAGCAGTTGATGGAACATCTATTTTAATTGGAATTAACCAGCAGGCTGTCAACCGTTAACTGTAACAATAAATTGGCAGGTGCATCTGTGTTCTTGGGGAAAAGGAAGAGTTAGCCATGAAGGCTTCTTCTTTGGAAGCTTTTAAAGAGAGGCTGGATGGCCATCTGTCGGGGTGATTTGAATGCAATATTCCTGCCTCTTGGCAGGGGGACTGGATGACCCATGAGGTCTCTTCCAACTCTTTGATTCTATGAAGCGGGAGGCAAGTGGAATGGAGAAAGTGCAGGTTGTGTGCTGCGTGCCTTTAGGTTGTTTCCATCTTATAGCCACCCTAAGAGTTTTCTTGGCAAGATTTGTTCAGAAGTGTTTTGCTGTTGCCTCCCTCAGAGGCTGAGAGAGAGTGACTTACCTAAGGTCACCCAAGGACCCTTCCACACAGCCATATAACCCAGAATATCAAAGCAGAAAATCCCACAATATCTGCTTTGAACTGAGTTATCGAAGTCCACACTATCATATATTCCAGTTCAAAGCAGAAAACGTGGGATTTTACTGAGCTGTGTGGAAGGGGCACAAGTGAGTTTCTTGGCCAAACAAAGATTCAGAATCTCTTCTCCAGCATTGTAATCCATTGTTCAAGTAATTACACCCTTGGGAAGGGGCCTTTTAATAAGCATTCACAAGAACATTTGTTGCTGGTAACATGAGGATGTGGAAAATAGGACTAAACATTTTGTAATAGGCTGTTGTGAGGTGTGAAGTTGAGGACTAAACATTTTGTAATAGGCTGTTGTGAGTTGCAAAGTTTCCTTGTGCTCTCTTTCTCAATCAGCAAACACAAGCGGTGGGAGAAAGTGATGGATAAGACTGCAATCTTTGGCTTATACTGTCAGTCCCTGAGTTACAAACATCCAACTTACAAATGACTCATAGTTAAGAACGGGGCTGATATTACACGAAGTTAGAGAAATCTGCCCCTCAGACGGGAAATTCACTCCTGAAAGAGTTATTGTGGGGAAAAGGCATCTCCATTGAAGCTTTATCACCAATCCTTGTTTCTATAACAAGCCAATTTTTTTCAAAACCTAATTATCACAGGGACTGAAAGTAAAATGAAATCTTCTGAACAGGGGCATAGACAGCAAAACAAACACCACAGGGGTGTTAACCCTTCCTTCTGCTGTCCAAAGCATGCATGCATATATGTAAAGGTTTCCCCTGACATTAAAGTCTAGTCATTTTCGACTCAAGAGGTTGGTGCTCATATCCATTTCTAAGCTGAAGACCCAGCGTTGTCTGTTGACACCTGCAAGGTCATGTGGCCAGCATGACTGCATGGAGCATTGTTACTTTCCCGCAGAAGCAGTACTTACTGATCTACTCACATTTGCATGTTTTCAAACTGCTAGGTTGGCAGAAGCCGCACCTAACCCCTTTCAATCTATAAGTTCAGCAGCTCAGTGGTTTAACCCACTGTGCCACCAGGGGCCTCAATATATATATATATATATGTGTGTGTGTGTGTGGCTGTGTGGCTGGAGTTACACTTTTAAAAATACATGTTTTGATTTACAACCAAATTCAACTTAAGAACAAATGTATAGAACCTATCTTGGTCATGACTTGGGGACTGCCTATATACATATTCAGCATAAATATCTTTGATGTAGAACTATAGAGGCACATTAAGAACATAAATTCTTTCCCAGCCTTCACTTCTACTGATTGCCATATGAAGCTGTTCCGGGTTTTCAAAAGACCTCTTGATTCCCACTTATACTGACAGTTTAATGCACTTTGAAGCTACCTTCAAAATATGGCAGCTTGACAACAGATGCCCACAGACATTCACAATAGAAAGCCCTTACTGTGCATCAGTTCTCTGGTTTGTGTAATTGGCATTGGGGCCTCAAACTGATTTTCCAGGATTTTTTATGTCTTCATCTGCACAGCAAACCACTTTTTTCAATACTGATTTGAAATTGCATTAAGTACTCAGTGCAGATGAGCTCTTTATCAAGCACATTCCCAACTC